CTTTGGCAGATGTCCAGCTACCCTCTGAGCCAACTGACGGTTTATTCTGCCTATGTAAAGGTCAGCGCAACCGCAGGTAAACTGATAAACAACGTGAGAGGCCGAACCACCCGACGAGATGATCTGATGATCATGAAGAACAAGTCCTCGCATGGTATGCCTGAGTCGTAACTGGGCTGTCGTGTAAATGCGCGTTAGGACGAACCGGAGCTTGCGTCCGATATCATTTGCCACATGGTCCCCCTGAACGACAAGAACAAATAAACATCATTTTTCTCAGCCGTCAACACCGGTGTTTTCACGCTGGGGGGTCTGCTGTGTACCTGAATAAACTTCGCAGGATATCCATTAGAAATTAAGGTCTTGCGTAGAATTTCTTCTTCGGCTTTTAACGTTTCGGCGCTGCAAGTACATCTAGCCCGGTGGAAGGGAGTTTTCACTAAACCGCGTTTGTATGCGATCGGGGCGAAGATTGCAAAATGAAGGTACTGTCCACTCCAACTTGATTTGCGGTGAACAGTGCGCTGCAACGTACCTTAAGCCCGTCTCCCAATGAGTATATCCAAAAACGCCAGGCAACTGTGTTGTTCCACTTCATGGTATGCCGACAGATTAGGGTGAATCGATTTCAGAATGGTCAGCAGCCGGGTAACGTGTTATCCGCTGGTGAAGATTAAAATGTCATCCACATGTCGTCTGTACAATTTCGCTTCATCATTGCTGGCAGCAACTTGCCTTTCTATCAGGCCGAGTAAGATATCGGCTAAAACTGGTCCCAGAGAGCTACCCATGGCGCCCCCATCTACCTGTTTGTATGCGGTCCACTCAAAATCAAACCAGTATATTCTCGGTGCACAATAGAATCATATCCTTCAAATACTCCACTGGTAGGCCCACAGACATATTCTGGCTCAGGATAAAATCACATAAATTATTGACCGTCTCACGTAATGGCACGTTTGTGAATAAGGAGTCCCCATCTATTGAGTACATAAGCTCTGCACTCAATGACAATTGTTCCAGCGTCTCAGCCAGTTCAGAGGAATCATTCAGGCAATACGTAGCGAGGAGTTTATGCACCGGATCTAATAGTTTAGCCAGCCACCGCGCGACATTGTGGTAAGGTGAATTGTTCATGCACATAATCGGACGTAGCGGGAATCCTGCTTTGTGTAACTTGCGAGCGCCTCTCATTCTAGGTGTCGGTGTCTCAGTCGGTTTTAAGTGCCTGTACTGCGACTCATTGGTGTAACCATGTAGCAGGAGGATCTGGAGCTTCCTTCTCACAACCTCTGTCTTAACGAAGTGGCTATAGGGGACCCATTGTTTTACTTTTCTGAAAAGAAGACTCCCCGCTACCGTTGCGAGAGCATCATCATCATCATTGGACCGATTGTTGTCTCTGCGCTGCAAGTTAGCTGTTGGTCGCGTCCGTGTTAAGTTTTTTGATGATTGTATCCCCTCAGGTTCTTTCCCGTCGCCATTTCCAATACCTTGTCTTGGAACGTTGCTGATAAACAACACCAATCTGGCCAGGATCGCGTCGGCGCATATCGACGCCTGCCTTGAACGAGAACGGAACTTTCTCAAGACGCAGAGGCGCTTCGCATGCACAGTAAATGAGTTGTCGTTGGTTTGTCGATTTAAATTCGAGGCTGAAGTTCTCCGTCGCACGAGAGCAAAAACAGTGCGCAGTCTGCATGGTTCTCCTGCTAAAGCCACCAATACTTCATTTTCTACTGATTGCTTGAAGCATGTATACAATTTGTCCTCTGCTCAGTTCACGCGCACGCAATCGGATGTTCTTTCGCCTGGAATGAAATACCGACTGCCGCCAAAACGCCAGACAAGGTCACCACGCAGGCCCATTTTGAGTATCTGAATGAACACTGAATTTATGTCAGATCGGTGATCATTGGCTATGGTCCCCATCTTCAACAAGGTCACAGGCCTTTGTTCATAGTTAACAAAGCTTTAACCTTGTTTCATTTGCATCCAACCGTCCTACGTATGTCGTTCTATGTTGACTTATTGGTAGTCATGGTAGTCGGATCAGTGGAAGCAAGGCTAGTTTATACCTCGGTCGAGGATGCATTGCTCATGTATTTACTTCTCGTCACAAGTATACAGCCTATTTATCATGGTAGTTGTCCTTGACGTGACTCAGTTCAACCTGCGCGTTTCTGTTACTTGAATACGTTGAAGGGGCTATTAGGAAAACTCCTGTATTCTATCTTTCGCGACTGTTCTTGACTGGTCAGATTCCGCAGGAGGCTATCTCCTAGGTTCCCACGCGACAGGCGTGCACCATGGCTATTCTATATCCTTTTCTAGTTTCTGCTTTCTGATCGTACTTATCATACTTGACGCGTTGTTATAGAATGGAATTTCCATTTAGTGACCGGTCGACGAACCGGAAGCGTACATTCAACATAGCTTTCTTTGTATCGGATCCATCTTCTGTTCGTGCTTCCTTGGGTAGATTACCTCAGAGCACTGCACGCCTCGGCATGCACTTCACACCATAATAGCGCATGGCGCCGATGCAGAACTTGGCAGACATGCGAATCGACCTACCATTGCGAGTAAATACTGCGAATGTTCACTTAACTTTGTAGCTACATTTCCTTGTTCACATTACTGCTGGGGTTGCTGAACGTATCAAGGTAGTTTGTTTAGCTTTCTCCCTTCTCAATCGTGCGATATCAGTGTCTCATTCAGGCGTTCCTTTGAGTTTTTTCGTCCCTTTAGCTTCTTTCCCAACAACGACCTCATACAAGATGCATAATATTGCATTTAGCATTATATTACTTGTATTTTTAGTTTTTTAAGTCTGTCTTGTCTAATAGTACGAGAGAGTATTAGGGTAGTTGAATGGTGTAGGTGGAAATTCGGCACACATGGACGCAGTCAGACAGCCGTCACACGCCCGGAAATGTGCTGTATGACCATTTCATTCTTTCGGGAATCGCCAGCGGTGCGCATGACGTCTGACCCTCGTAGGCTTCTAACCCGAAACTTGACTGTTGCTAGTTTGATTGAAATCACTGAGCTGCGGGGGACGACAACGACAGTCGTGACTAATTTACTAAATGTGATATAGCGCCGCTTACGATTTGCTGGTTCGAGCCATACGAAGGCCAGATGGAGTGCGCACTGCTTACGATTGCTGATAGATTGACATGGCCGTACAATGAGTGCATTCCCGGGCATGTGATGGCTGCCTGACTAAAGCTAGATGTGATGAATTTCTACCTAATATCTTTTTTGTTTTGCGGTGCATTAGCTGAGGCGTGTTTCTCACCCTCGGCTGACGTGTATTGCATGTATGGTAGGATGAACAAACGGCGGTAGGGCTCAGAAACATGTCCACTCTACACTAAATAATCTAAATTACTGATAGTCTTTGATCACCGATTTTTGTCAGGCATTGCTTGTATTTTTTTTGGGGGGGGGGCACCAAGCAAGCCGTACTGATGTCTGCCATCTGGTCTTGGAAAGAGAATCCCCATGTACCGCCATAAAATTTGTTGAACTTCAACCGCGCGTCACAAAACCGTTCTGCTTTGACCTCTAGTGAACAGTTGACTCTAGTAATTACAGATCGACTGCCTATGAATTCGGACCGCACTGTCACCTTTTACTCGTCTATCACCGGTTTCTGTCTTATTTAGGCATCACTTCGATGTTTGCTTATCTTACTTACTGTAATTTATTGGGGCGTGCGTATAGGAGCTTCTACATCAGCTTTCACCGACTAACATGCTGAATATGCCAGATGTGTACCAACATTGCCATCGGTTTCCCATGCATTGAAAACCACCTACCTGTCTACTCTGTCACCTCCCATTCGAAGTCACCATTCAACAGCTTCTATCACTTTGACTAAACCGCAGAAGATATTTATGTTGAAGCTCCAGAATAATTCTGAGATCTCACCCCGACTGCCTTCTGCGCTTAGCACAACAGGTAGTGTGTTCCACTGCTGTTTACTTTGCACCTTCTTGCATTTTTTGTTCGAAAATCGTGGGTGACTCTGGTATACAGATTCTGCCTTACGATTGGCTTGTAAACTTGTGGTATGTGCACGATGTCGTCCTCTTTGAGTTGGATCCAGCCGCTGCACAAATCCTTTTAAATATACTGGCGCAAATCATATTTGTTGTTGTCCCCTGTCAAGCGTCTTCCAGACCGCAGCAACTGCAGTTGTTGTTGTAAAACCACTTCTGGGGAATTTCATGTCACCGATTTCTACTTACCGTGCCCTTTGAACCATACTTTCTATCCGCCGGGTCCACAAACTCCTGCCTTTATCCGATACCACCTACCGACCCTATGTCTTTCTCCACTTAACGCACATAGTCAATCCTCAGTTGGGCACACTGTACGGAGCAACTCCGCATAGTCGCATGCATCTTCCCGGAAATTGTATTTTCATCAGCTTACGTGAACTTCGGGTTACTGTTTCATTAATCACTTAATTTACCCTTATCCTTTCATTTCACTTATTCTTTCATGGGACCGAGATAATTTACATGAGACTATTAGGTTGTTACACTTACACTCTGAAGCATTCAGCGTTGCATTCTGTCATTGCGACTGGTAGCACTAAAATCAATGTTCTACAGCCAATATTGATTTTTCCCGTCGTTCTTTAGTTGTGATGCACACTCCGTTTGTTTATGGCTGGTTGTCAGTTTTAACACATCTGCTGCTGCTTGAATTCACGTAAGCCAGTGTACCAACTGTCATTTGTTTGTGTGGCCATCCTTTATCGGGCTTTACTGTTTTTCTACTTCTGATGTCAGCGATCACTCAACATGACAGTATACTTGTACGCAATCACTGTTTTGGTCATCATTTCGGTGTTTGTGTAGCAAACTTGCCCAATCTAGTATCTAGTTTTATCCAATCTGCTAATGTACAGATATTCCGGCCGTTTCATGACTTTCTAAAATATGTTTACTGATGCTCTCTTTTTCTTTTCCTTGTGTCGACAGATGAATTAAAGCCGGTAGCAAATGGAACCCGTCCACTGGGCTGCCGAGCTCATGTGACTCTTGCCTTGGCTCCGGACGTGTCTGCTGTGGAGACTGGTTTTGACTTGTTACGTGTGGTGGACGCCGAATTGTCACACCGACCCGGTCAACATGTGGCCATCGTTCCGGGTGGATCTGTGCGCTGTGTTACAGTTCAAATGCCAACACCATCCCCTGCACGTCTGTATCCACGCGCGCGCTTCGTCACTTCTCCCCCTGATCATGACTACGTGTATGTGTTTGATTTGGATGTTCCACAACACCATCGCGTCTTATTCGCTGCTGTTTATTAGTGTAAGATCCTCACTCGTAACTTTGTGCTACAGCCACTTGTGGACATTGCATTTTTGTGTTTTTTTCGTGAGCGGTTCTCTTTGTCTATGAAACTTCCCTGTTTTCTACCCTTATTTTTTCCGGCCTACAACTCTTTCCTGGGCCCTCCAGGTTTCCAGTCTTGAGTACTTGTAATTACATCTGTTTGCGAATCGGAAACACTTGTTTCACGATTGATTTTCATTTCAACTTCTCACGTTGTGCATTGCTAGTTTGTTCTAACTCCTCCATCCTGTGAGCCGGTTGCGGCACGCAGTTTCAATTTGGTCAGCGGATCACTTCGTATTGAATATCGCTTAGTTTGATCATGGTGACCACATATGAAGCGAATAAATAACAGGTATTTTCCGCTTGGTCGTCAGTGATCAATACGGTCGTTACTGACTTGCTGTGGCTTCATTTTGATGCACCCATTGCGTGTGAATGAAGTGAGAGTTTGTTAGCGGCACCACCAACATTTGTCTTATAGTGTTCCTTTTTCATGTTTCTCACGACTCGTTTTATAAATTATGGGACCATCTGAATTTGATATGTGTTGATAGATCGCCTTCTGGCTGTTTTCGTGATAGTCGGTTCGCTTGTTCTCTAATTGCTGTTAGATCCCTTCTGATATTTGTTTCGGTTAGGACGTTTAACATTTCTGCGGTTGATGGCGAACGTCTTAGAACGGAAACCCAAGTGAGCCACGCGATACGCACGAGGTACATCAATCCTTACGGCCCGTGGCACCGCTGATCCACGTGTTGCTGGACCTCGCCGCACTTTTCCTCTCAGAATCTGGACGGTGCGCTCTTGTTCACTACCTTCGTCGTGAGCTGCTTGCACATCTCTTACTGCTACACTGTCATACATGTTATGAACGGATAAGCCACCTGAAATAAGAGCTTACCACATGTACATCCAATATCGCTTACTACATTTTGCTGCCATGGTTTGGATCATCCGTTCAATGGAAATATAGCTGGCGCTTTGCATAACAACCCTTCATTAACTTCATGGCAGCATAGCGGTTTTTCTAGTTTACACTAATAACATGAGCGCATAATGCAATATGAAGTATGCGCTTATTTTTCAGACCACCAAACGTTGCGTGCTGCAACTTGTTTTCTTTGTGCATCGACAGCGTCTTCTACCAATCGCTGCTTCATAGCTCGAACCATTACGTTCGCAGTTGCACTGGGGAATCGGGTTAGACTGCCACTGACTACAATAGATGCATTTCACCTGATTCTCTCTCGTTACTAAGAAGCACCAAATTTCCTATATTCCTCAATCGTGACTAGCAGTGGCGGTTGTTTGCTAAATAAATAAATATTTCAGAACTGATGAGTAGTGAGGATTTTGGTCTAATTCATCAGGATTAGGCTAGTCTGGAAAGCACCAACGCGGGCTATTTTTTGCTTTTCTGCCCTACTGAATTTCGTCTACCACCGACTGGAACCTTGCTGTTCACTCCGTTGTCCTTGTGCCTTTATGTCTCTGAAAATGCTCGGTGTCACAAGTCCTCAACATAACAACAATGCCTCGAATATCCTGTTGTGTATTAAGCGGACTGCACCTAACACAAGAACGCGCTGAGGACCTCACCTCGTTTGATGATGACACGTTTATAAATCAATTACAAAGGTCGGCGGGCACGTGAAACTCGGAACCCGCACTGTTTTGTATGTGCTATTGATGTGGCATGCGTGCACGGTTTTTGCTGTCAATAACCGACATAGCTGGTGAGCACGGTATTCCGAGCGGACGATCAACATAATTAACGAAAGTGCATCCCGTCAACTGCATTTGCCCATCTTTATTTTCTTTCTCTCTGTTGCAGTTGACACCACTGCAGTGAAACATTTTGGCCAACCACTTCAGTACTTAAATGGAGGCTGAGCTTCTTTTGCCGCTTAGGTTATAATAAATGGTCGAATTGGTGTTAGGAGTTTGATGACGGTTCGTCAGTCGGACAGCCACTGCACACCCGAAGGAGAGCTGGACTGCCGTTCCAACCTATTTTTAATCCTATTTGGTTCATCGCAATTAGATTCCAAGCCTCTTAGGTAAGCTACCAATCCGAAAAGCGCCACACAATCGTTCCGTCCTATTGGGACTCGTCAGTGGTGCGCATTCCCTCGGTCCCCCGCTGGGGATCGAACCCGTGACCGCTAGCACCTTTTGCCAAGTAGCCAGCATCTTATGCAGCTGAGCCATATGGGAGGATAGCTGACTATCACGGATTGAAACTTAACCGCGATATAGCCCGACCTATCCTCCATCGCCATGCAGGTTACTGCCCGTGCAGAGAACTTTACTTGTAATCGTCAGTGGTGCGTATCCCTCTTGTTTCCTGTGGGAGTAAAGCCAGTGACCGTAATTCCTACAAGTCCGTTATTAAGATCACTGCACCACCATCGTTTAGCAACCGCTTTGGAATTAGCGCGCAACATTACTCAGCTACCACACGTCTCGCCGACGTGCAAAAAATAAGGTTTAAATTCTAGCCGTGACTTTTCTTATTGCTTCGCCATTGTCCGACGGCCGCTTCTCGTCCCAGTGGTCCTAACCAAGGAGTCGTAAGTGTACGATCAGATTTTTTCATTCCTACAATGACCTGATGTAATGAGGAGGAAATGGTGGTCCAGCGATTCTTAGGCTGAACAATAGCTGCATGAGTGTGACTATGACAAATCTTCTTTTAAAACCCTTGTAATAACACTCGGTTTTCTCTCGTGTACGTTACATGCAACCGAGTAGTTCGGGTTAATCCGACAGATGTTCGTCGGAACATCTGCTGTTAGTATCTATCTCATCTTCTGAGTAGCGGTATTACAATGAAACCTCCAAAAGTGGAACACTGAAGAGACTGGACCAACGTGGTCAACATATGTAGGTCCTATACAGAGCTTTATGTACTTTGCAATTTTGTGTTACCCACCCGAAAACACTGCACACCACAGCGTGTTGCGACCTAAGTTGTTCTCATCAGGTAAAGCAAGCAGACATCGGGTCACTTACCGTTGGGGTAATAAATGACTGTAACGGCCTGCCGGAAGAATTGTTGAACGCACCGCAGGAGGAAAGTTTCAAGCGACTTTTAGGCAACTACTTTAATATTGTTGCCGTCACTGCAAATGCAATGAAATCTTGAGGAGCCTCGTCATAGAACAACTCTCAGCAAATACACACTGATTATTAGATGGACGGAGTTGACAAGAATCCCCCACTCTATTCTCTACATTTTACTTAACCTCGACGAACGTTAGCCGGTGCTGCAACGCCATTTCTGTCATCCCCGTGCAGTTTAGTTATTCTGACCCTGCAGCATCAACCAGCCAGGATAAATTAAGGGTTTCAGCAGTCTTTCCAGACTTATCTATTTATATCCAGAGCTCAGGCACTCATGCTTGCTTGGACTGAACCCCTATAAAGTTGCTTGAATTGACACTATTTATCTCAAACTTTTGTACGAGCTAGCAAAGTGCTGTGCAAACCTCGCACGTATTTTTGGTTCATCTCACCATATATCCTGTCGACAAAGAACAGGTTGTCTTATGACCTGATTTCATAAACTGCTGATATACACATCGCTGAAAACTACATGCCGGTTAGTCTATCAAGCGTACTGGTCAAGTCATTATAGAATCTGGTAACAGTTGCCCTCGAAAATCCGCTGGAAAAGTTCGGCTAGCTTAACCTTCTCAACATGTGTTCCGCAGCGATTTCCTTCATTTCATTCATTTGCTTGTGGCCCAAGGATGCCTATCTGAGGCTACGGTGGATGAATTGCTTAGTCGCCATCCCAGGGATTTTGGTATCGTCCCATACTACAGAGTTCAGTTTAAAATAATGTCTCCTGCTTTTCTGCTTACTATTGTAATGAATATTCGCACTTCTATCGAGAAGGGAGATGAGGTTTTTGAATGCGTTTTGGCCTTTATTTCGACGAACCTTTCTTGTTGGATTTCTTTAGGGATCAATCCAGTTTCCCTGTTGTTCTTTTTATGCGTTAACAACCCCAAGGTATTACTCCTTTTTGCGAAAATGTTTTAAATTTTTGTGTGCGGTGATCGATTCTAACGGTCCTTTATCTTGCAACTGGCTCTTGATAAGCTTTGCGAGTGGTTTGATTGGTGACGTTTGCCAATAAATCTGACCAATGTTTCGGTCTTGCGTCTAATATGTATGCTGCCCACAATGCGTTATCTACATGGCCAATACTAACACCGCAAATGACTAATCAAGTTACCCTAGGCATTTCGCTGGCATCTGCCAATGGTCTCCAAACGCTGTGTAGGATCAGCAGATCGTTCGGGTTCATAACGAATGAAAGGTTTATTATGAGCGTTCACTAGACCATACTTCGAATACAGCATGCAGGTCTATTCTCCATGCTTAATCCGCACCATAGTGCCAGTTTGCCTCTCCCTTTCACTTTTCTCCGGTGTCTGCGTTAGTAATCAAGAGGTCCCTGGGAACTGCGCATTGAACCGATGCTCAAACCAGGATCCAACCGCACACACTACCTTGACACACGTCCAGCGTGGATAGCTGGACACCATGCCCCCGCAAACCGGAAGTATACCATGATAGAAAAATCCAAACCTCCATTAATTCGTAAGGTTACTCACCTTCGCAATTCTTTATCTTAGTCTCCATAATCCTACTTCATTTTCGAGCAGCTGGCTGGCCGAACAACCACGTTGTGCCAGCTGGGTGGTTCGGGTTAATCCTGATCCAGCTAATTGTTCGGCGGCAGTGTTCCAGGACGTGGTTGGTTTTCACCAAGCGAGCGTGCTCCCTTTAACAAACTACAAATGTCTGCTTAACAACACTGCGACGTGGCAGATATGACACCCCTAAATGATGTCAGTGCCTTGCCATACTGGAGGAGAGCTTACACGTTTCGCGAGCGTCAACCACATCAAAGTTTTTTCTGATCCCTTTTTCTATTGGCGCATTCACCGAACAAACTCGCGGTTATACCGGCAAGCTCACATAACACGCTTACTTTCACATGCACCTACATACATACTACCCATTCACACATACAAATATCCAGTATGTACTGGTTAACTCGTAGCATTTCTGTACCATTACGGATGTTACACGTTGTATTACCCTCATCGTACCTTTGAAGTCGTGTCTTGCACCGCGGAAAATAAATCGTTTATTTATTAATGACGGACCCCGATTGAGCCATTTGGTCAGCCAACAGCAAAACTCAGCACAACGCAACTGCGCATAGCCCGGCGAGTAATCACTCGGTACTATGCATTCCCAGTTACACATTACCCTTCAAGTG